AGCTACATCAGTGTGGAAGAGTGGGAAGTACTTTACCTTTCTAGGGCCTAAAAGCCACACACACACACTTTCGGAATGGCTGTATTGAACCCACAACCTGAACCAATTGAAAAAGCCTTACTTTTCGTTGCTTTTGGCCCTCAGTGTCTTCCTGAGATTCTTGCAGGATGCGATCCAGGATCTTCATATCTAAAGCCAGCTCTTCCTGCTTGGCTTCATTGAGACGCTTCCTCTTCTCCTCCATGGAATCTAGCAGCATGTCTCTACATTCTCTCAGCTTCCGACGTCTCTCCATCTCAGCTCGTTCATCCTCTAGTTTAAACAGAAGCCGTTCCTCTTCCTACAAGAAGGGCAAGAGCGCTTGTTAATTCACCACTTTGAGAATGGATTTAGTCATCTCCTGTAACATTTGACGCTGAAAATAGTTGTTCAGTATGGTGAATGAGAATGTGGCTGATGGGTCTCCCTATAGAATTAGAAGGCAATCTAGACATGTGTATAGGGCAGCGATGGCGAAGCTATGGCACGCTTGCCACAGCTGGCACACGGAACCCTTTCTGCCGGCACATGAGCCGTAAGTCGCCAGATCACTACTCCCCCTCCCATGGGTGAAGCCAAGCCTGAGAAGGTGGCTGCAGCTGCGGTCCTGGCACTTCGGCAGGTAAATCTGGAGCAGGTGGTGCTCACAATGGACCCAGAGTGGGGTCTCCAGGCACCTCCATGCCAGGATTCCCCCTACAGCCGCCACTTCCGGGTCCACCGCCACCACTTCCAGGTCCGCCACCACTGCGGCATGCTGCCCGCTGTTTTTTTTTCCCTTCCCCCCAGTTTGGGCACGTGAGCCCAAAAAGGTTTGCCACCACTGGTATAGGGGCTGTAAAGCCAAGCTTTGGAGCATCGTATTACAAGAAACATGAGTCCTATTCAGGCACCCAGCCTGAAGACTGGGGCTCAAATGGTGGTAGCAAGGTGGGGGGCTTAAGTCAGCTACAATAAGGAACAGATGATGATCCTAGAAATGCTGTAAACTTGTTCAGTTGAACATGCTTATACCCCTAATGCAGACCTTTGCACTAGTGTTGCTTTTGAAATAGAGCCCTGATGAAAATAACACAATAGCGACACTGGCTATCAAAGTTCAAGATCTTAATCTGCTACGTGTAATCATTCTAGCGTTTTAAAAATCTGCATTTTTGTTCTAACAACTCTGACCTCTTTTTGAATGTCAGTTCCTGTATTTTTTTTACTGCTGAAGAGATGGAAGAGTCTTCCAGCAGTTAAGGAATATGAAGCCAAGTTTGTATTCTTTGGATGTACAAATGGGTTAACTCTTTCAGACAACAACAGTTGGAAAACTGGCTACTTAACCATCAATTTAGCCTCTTCCTCCTTCAGTCTCTTTTCCTCCTGCCTCTGAGCCTCTGCCACAGCTCTCTGGGTGTTCAGCACGTTAAGCATGTCAGCGTTCCGACCCGATCTTTTCTGGGCTTCCTCCATGTCCCGTTTTTCCTTGGCCAACCTGTCCTCTTCCCAGAGTGCCAGATAGGTTGCTTCTTCCATCTGCTTTTGCTTTTTCAGTTCCTCCTTTAAAGCCAACTGGGCCATTCGGTCTTCACACACCTCCATCAGATGTTTCTTGCTCCACTGGGTCCGCAGCTCCTCACAGGATTCTCTGGGCCACAGGAAGGAAATAAAAGGTATTTTGTGTAAATGGAAAACACACATTATGGCTTGGAAATATAGTAGGACCCCATTATCTGCAGGACCAGTATCCACTGATTCACTTATCCACAGTCTGAAAATATTATAAATACTGTATTAAAAGAAAAAATCTAGAAATATATATTTCTATTTCTGTTATATTAAGACAACCACCTGTCTCAAGTTTTATACTGTCGATATGTTCTACCAAATTACCTATTCTGTATATCTTGTATTATATGTTTTTATATTTGAATTTTCGGTCGGTCTATGACCGTACAGTATAATAAAACTTAACTTATATTTCTAAAGAGGAAGTTACGAGAACTGGCCACTAGAGGAAACCAGAGACCATGCTATGTACAGGGTTCCCTAGAATCCACATTTTTCAGCATATGCAAGGGGAAGGGCTTAGAACGAATCCCCTGCAGATACAGGGGTCCTGCTATACTGATGCTGCCATAATGCAAAGCTAGAAAACATTGATCACATAGATTTGAAGTTGCATAGGATAAGAAACAGGGCACAGTCCAAAGGTTTCCATACTGACATTGCTCAGAAACATTGAGTGGCATGCCTCAGTTTGACAGCCATTAAAGGTTACACTCTCAGTCTACACCTTTCAAGGCTCAAAGAGATCTTCTGAAAAGCTGAGCCTGAGAGCCTATCCGGCTGTTTCTCAGAAATGGTAAAAGAGTGAATGGCCAATATATATACATATTTCTGCATTCCTGGTTTTTAGATGAAAAGAAAGGAGATGCGCATGCCTTTTTGGATGTAACACCGAAGTAGGATGAAAGGAATTACAGGTCAATCACACGGTCTCACTTCCACTTCTGTGGAGCACCGGAGATTGCCCTGAAAGACGATGACTCAAGAACAACTGAGAGAATAAGAGAATTGCAAAGAGAAGGGCATTTTGGCACCCTCTCTTGCCTGGCACTTGACTGGCTAGAAAAAAAGGATATGTGGCAACTCCCTGCCCTTAGCCTTTGCCACGGGAACAGTTTCCACTGATAGCTGCTCTGGCTAATTTAAACTCCAGCCTACCCCTTGCATCAGTTCCTGGGCCTGTGTCTTGCTCTTCTCTGTCAGTCTGTGTGTTTTTTTATTCATGTACTTGTTTTGGTTGGTTGGTCCTCTCCTCCTGTTTGCTGAATCTCGCCTTGCTCTATACAGCATCCTTACTTAAGTGCATGCATGCCTCAGGTGACATCACTGATGAAAAGACTATTGATAACTTTTTAATGAAAAAACAAATAGATAACAATGCAAGAATGTACAGCATTTAAAATGTAGCACACACTTGCACACCGCAGACCAGGGAACCTATCCCTGGCATCTCTTCCAGACATTCAAGGTTATAAGAATAAACAATTCCTTTCCAATGGATTTGCTTAGTGAGACTGATATAGGTTAAAGTTATAGACCAAAACCTCTGGAGTGTCAAGTGTTTCCCAATCCTGAAGCAGCCTTACAACTGTGGGCAGATCATGAGCAAGATTCCATTAGTGGTTCCCTTCTTCTTCTAATCTCTCTGGGCCGAATTCATTCAGCAGGACAAGGAAAGGAGCCTTGTGGTATGGTGGTTAAACTGCAGTACTACAGCCAAAGCTCTGCTCACAAGCCGGGGTTCAATCCCAGGTAGCTGGCTCAAGGTTCATTCAGCTGTCCCGGCACATTGAGGATAGGACATTTTGGAGATCATTCATTCATAGGGTCATCATAAGTTTGACATGACTTGACAGCATGTAACAACAACAAATTAAACCTCAGGAAACCCAGGAAGGTATTTCCACACACTGCTTCCTCAATCTTTCATGTCTGATCTTCCTTCCTATATGAGCAA